AAACCTCTTATCACACTAGAAATACTGAATAAAATGTTTTATCTAAGAATATCACTTAACTATAAGATGTTGATATTTTTAAGGACCTTGCAAATTTTCTGATTATTTAGTACATATTTTACATTTATTTCAATATTTTGTTTCCGAAAAACGAAAACGAAAACGAAAAAAGGATATATTACTCATTTCTGATACCGATTTTATGTTAAAAAAAATAATTTTACAATAAAAAAAAAAAAGCTTATCGCTTGCATATTCCTTCACATATTAGATACAGTGTAGATAGAATATTGATTGACGTTTGTCAACAACTTGCTGGTTTGGACATTTTTCTTCATATCGCATGTCCCTCTGATTTTTCATGTGCCCCAGGTTTGTATGACAGTCAAAGAAGGTTGCTTATTTCTCCATGGTACCTGATCCCTTCGGTTTACAGAGGTACGAAGCATTTGCATACTTTTATTGGAGTTATAAGCATGAAAACTAATTTTTATTTTCATGCTATGTAACATGAAAAAATTATGTAATTAGGCATTGATTTCATTTAATTTAAAAAGAAACCGCGCTATCCTCGTCGCCATGATAACAGTTAATGCTGCTATCTTAAAGAAACAATGAAACTCAAGACTTAAATATTTTTCATTAAGCCTTGTAGTACAGGTACATGTACATGTACATAAGAGAAATTGTGGTTTATAAAATAATTGCAACTTTGAAGTGTGACCATACAAATAACATACTAGTACATATAGATTAAAAACATGATACTAGCATTCAAGTTTAGATTCCTTTGTGTTGCTTTAGAAATTAGATAAGCTTAAATAAAGAACCAGCATTGTGGATATATAATCAAGTTTTCATGGAGAAAGTCTGTATACACTTGTCTTGAAGACAATGATCACGGAATTAAGGATGAGTGACAAACAACACCATGTTAGTACTTGAACTACAGGAAAGTTAATGCAATGAAAGATATGGTCCTTCAAATAAGATTAATAAGTTTCAAATAAGTATTAATTTGAAACATCTTTCGTATATGAACGTCTCTCATCTATAAAAATAGTAGCTTTTACAGGTACATATACCAGAAAAAAAATCTCTTTTCTTTTTGATTAGCTCGTCAAAGATTTTGTTAAAAGATATCTACTAGTATTTAAAATCGTTTTAGCCATTTAAAATGCATTGTCGAACGTTGATTTCAGCTTATTGGCTATCCAGTTTAATCGGCTGGATGACTTGCAGGCATTATGTTGAACATTGGTTAGCTATTATATTTAGCGTTCTGTGTACGGTATTAAAACTTCCTTGTTCAAGTAACCTCGGAAACATACTGCGCACATATTATTTCCGAAGAAAAAAAATAGAAATAATGTATGTAAACATTTGTACTTAATCATGTTAAATTCGTCTGAATGCAGACTAATATGTTAAGTATTATTAATTTACCGGAGAGTTAAGATATTTTGATTCTGAGAATTGGTTTTACTTAATATTCCATTATAATTGTAAACCCTACATTGTATGCACGTGCCATTTTAGAATTCACGTGGTACAAGTAAACATATCTAAGTTGTACGACCCTTGATTTTCCGGCAAATTTTAATTACGTTAATTTTGAATGAGGAGGGAATATTTATTTTTCTCAAATGCTTAATTATATTTTTTACCTTAATCCTGAATTATATATTGAGTAAATTTGAATGAAAAAGCACACGATTTTGCAGCCGCATTGCCGCTTTAAGACTACTGAAATAAAAATTAAGATCAATTCACTCTTATATTGCCAGCAAGGAGAGGAGTAGGCAGTATGACCCAATGTCTCGTCTTTTTTCTTGGCAAATATAAAAAAAATAATAATTAATAATTATTTAACACAGATTTTGCTGTCGTTATCATTATCCGCAACAAAGTAATTACGCGTTCAACCAGATTTCTTATATGTCCATACATGCTAAAGGAGGTATTCGTGAAGGGTCAAAAGTAGAAGTTTTAGCAGGGTTTATTTCAATGCTCTACGAAGAATTGAGTAAATAGTCACCACTGGATTAATAAATTTTTTTCTGGCATTACTAAAGTGTGGTGCTAAAATGTGGTTTCGTGTGGATTTGGTTTTAAAAACAGATTACTAATTCAATAGCGTGAATAATTTCAGATGCAGCCCTCTTTCTTGATTTGATTGATTGATTGTATATTGTTTAACGTCCCTCTCGAGAATTTTTCACTCATACAGAGACGCCACCATTTGCCGGTGGAGACCAGCAAAATTTTATCTTATACCCGGCACTCAGGGCCATTGAGCAGGGAAGGATCTTTTCCGTGCCAACATCTACTGCGACATGTGACCTCGGTTTATACGGTCTCATCCGGAAGACCGATCTTCACGTCTCACAGTGGGATTCGAACCCGCCACGTAAGGATTGACTCCTTACTTGGCGACTCTAGAGCAGACGCTCTAACCACGAGCGACCTTTCTTGATTTGAATTGCATTCAAGACATTATTGAAATAATTATTTCAATACTGATCGTAATTCTATATATTGAACCTAATGTTTTACACGTAATATGTACATTTAGTTACTACTGAAAAAAATATTTTATTTAAGAATAATACTTAAGTGTTTTCAATCTGGTTTTGCTTTTAAAATACCCTTGAAACCACTAATGATATTAACTTTTTTAGTAACTTTATTTCCATAATTGTTTCCTGATATTATTTTGAAATATATTCTCAGCCACTATAAAATAAAAAGTGGGCGTTATATCATTAATGATTGTAACAGATATAGTGCATGGAGAAGGATATGGAGATAAGGAACAGTATTCAATCTCAAAGTCCATAAAACAATACAAAATAGGAGCAGAGCAAACACGGACCCCCTAAACATCAGAGGTGGGATCAGGTGCCATGGAAGAGTGAGCACCCCCTTCCGACCGGTTACACCCGCCGTGTGCTCCTTGTCATGATCAGGAAATAACGGAAAAAATCCGTCGTCAATTCAGTGTATAAAAAATGGACTAACAATTGGTATGAAAAAAATCAGTCAGCATTTGACTCAACGATAAATTGTATTTGCTGACAAGGTCATTGTATCGACAATAGAACTTACGAAATGATGACTTTAAACGAAACTGCTGATATTCTGTATCTTATTACTGTATACAGGGAAATTTTCGCCCCCGTTTTATTTTCGCCCCTTTCGCCCTCTTCTTGATTGGGCGAATTTAAAACGGGGCGAATTCAAATTACACAGTATAATATTTTTAAACAGAACTATGACAGGGCGAATTTAAAACGGGGCAAAATTGTTTGCTAGTGCAAAAGGGCGAAAATAACACGGGGCGAAAATAACCCTGTATACAGTATATGATATACTTAAATAAATATATACATGTATAAACAAGCTTTGATAGAGTATTGCATTAGCAATCGTTGTTAATGCAAATTATCACTCAAGCCGAATACTTCGCTGATTATAAAGCATGCACATAAACTGCCTTATCTCAGGTTACTCCTAATAAAGGACAAGTGCACTTAAGCAATACTTAATGGGCCCTTCTTATGTGCAATTTTACTTTCGAATATATTACCAAATCATTCTCTTTTGTATAAGTCAGAAACAAGTGGATATTTCTAATTAGAAAGCACGTTAATTATCACCTAAATCAGATGGATTCTTTAAAAAATCGAATATATCTAAATGCCCATGAATACCCTAAATCCGGAAAAGTCATACCGAACCTTCTTTGAGTTTCGTTTATGTAAATCAAGAGGAAGAGATATTCAAATCGACACTTGAACAATATCATGGTGTATCATAGTCGGGCGCGTTTGCAGAATGTTACTTTTTGAGCCAAATCTCTTTTAAAAAATTGAATGAAGTTGTGAAGTTGCCTGTAGCCATAATGATCAAATTCAGAAATTTGTACTCATTGCATTAAAATTAAAAATTACAATAATAGTTTCATTAAATTTGAAATTAAAAAGGAGTGTTAAGGTGGCTTTCAATATCCGTTTCATTGTCTTGCATTAACGTTAAAAATGTATGACACTTCTTTGAATGGCACTAAAATCTCTTTACCCTCCCGTGTTCTTAAAAAAACAAATACATACAAATATTTCTAAGCGACACTACTTTGACTTAATGATACAAAACCTGCCGACTTTTTACAGTGAGCACCTTTGAGGAATGTTTACCTGGGAAGAACTCACGTGACTATAAGTATCGTAAATAATTTATTCCACACTAGGGTTCAAACTAGGTCATACAGTTAAATAGTTCTTACTTGCTATAGGAAAAACATTGTACTTTTTGTACACTTTTATTATTTTAAGTACCAGCCTAATCGTGTACAAATTTCCTACTTTCACACAAGTTTTATAAATGTATTATGCGTCTTTTGTCATTCGCACAAGTTTGTACAAAGTTAGGCACGTGGTAAACAAAAGCTTTGAATTGAATAACCGTTCTCGATTTACTATAGACAATAATAAATGTCGGATGACCCATGTCACATTCTATGGTTTTGTTCTTTGTATATTAGTGAATTTCAGCGGTAAAATTTGTTGAATCGTACAGTTTAGATATCAATTAATAATTTGGGATGAAACATTTTGCTTAATTTGATTGTTTATTTTTTCAAATTTTACCGGGGCCCATAAGTGCACTCGTTCTTTGGAAGCTTTTGAACTGAGTCCTTGATTAACATCGAGGAGGTCGATAAAGGTTGTGTTTATTACTAGCTTCTTTTGGTTATTGGTTTTACGATGTTAACTCTCAATATAGTATCAGGACAATGTGTTAATAATAAAACTGCAGACGATATAACAGAAGTCACTCTCTACGATGAATATAGACCGTTCTTTCTCTAAATTCAGATAAAATAAAGCACGTGATACAAACTAAACTATTTCTTTACAAAATTTCGCGGTGGTATTAATACGATTTAACATTACTGTACAATTTAGTTAAAGTACATATATATATATAAATAGAACACTGGCTAAACAAAAATCTTCCTGGTTCATTTCCACTTAGGAACGCAAATGTTTTATGTGACTGAATGGCTATATTCCTTTTACTTTTGTTGAAACAACTAGCCCACACTAGTGGATATGGTATGATTAATCTTTATACTTCCCTATTTTTTAAGTTTTGTAGCGAATAATATATGTGATATCACAATTTGATAAGATAAGGTCAATTATTTTGGCGTTATTTTTAATAATTCTGAGGTTTTTATTCCCGACAGAAAAATATGAATGTTTGATGCAATCAAATAACTCAGTACTTCTATATGTATTAACAATTTTCTTTTTCAGACCATCTATCATTCAATAAAACCACTGAACATAGCCAAAACTATAATAATTGTTATTTGGCTAAATATTGTGACATATATCATTCACGAAATGCTGTGGATAGAAACAATGACACTTGTACAAGAACTAGACCAATTGAACCTAGTAATTGGTCAAACCAAACATGGTGGTATGTAGATTTGGGCGGTATCTACAACGTTTACAAAGTTAACATAATATTTAGGCTGTATGAACCAAGACGTGGTAAGTAATTTGAATCAAATATATGCATGTTATTTGTAATTTCAATGAATGAAAAGCTGAGTTCTAATCTAGTACATTACTGTTGCAATGAATATTATACATATACATGTATATAGTGTGTGTAAACTTAAAGTGGCATATTTGTTTTCATAAAAAATAAAGACAAATACTGATCTGATATTCATCAAAACGGGGGTTCAGTTTTTATATCAAGTTACATGACATCGACATGAGCTCATTTTATTATATTACAAACCCGTAGCTGATTTGTTTTGATCGATATCTAAAGATCAGTATAATATTTCAGTCGATAAAACTTTTAGCAACAAAAGAAGTTACTTTTAATTATGTAAACATCTTAATACAATTCAAAACATGTGTATAAATTACAAGTTATTACACTTTATATGTTGAAAGGGCGATAGAATATAAGACAATATTATAAAACAACAAGTGAAGAGCCCTTTACGCTTCCTTCACTAACGGTACTGCGTACCATCACATACTAATAATTCTTGAAGTTGTTCTTTAGTACATGTAAGATATATACAATGTATGTACATAATTGATTATAACACTGTAAAACTTACAAAATTCTTTTGTTTATTTAAAAAACCATTTCAATTACAAACAGCATAAATCTCATTTTCTTCGCTTAATTATCAATGTCGGCGAATAAAAATCAGGTCTAAAGCAAAAACACGAGGCGGTTTTACATTTCCATATTTAATGGATTTAACATTCTGTAATAACAGGACCATGGGTTCCTGGCCATGACGCTAGAATTATTTTTTTAAGTTGACACAACCATCTGACAAGACAACACACGTAAATATTTGAAAACTCGACATAAACATCATAAGGGTGGTGACAGAAATATGCCATCATATGATACATTTTTATGTAAACCTTTCTCCATTTATCTTAGAACTTAGTCAAAGAGGTCGCTTTGCTGGATTTTCTCTCTATTTATCCAATTCTACGAATATTGACGAAGGATTGCTGTGTTACAAGGATGGCCCTGATTTACCTCCACTGGACATCAATGTCACGTGTTCAGGTCATGCTCGATATGTATTCTACTATAACGAAAGATTACCTGGAGTTAAATACCCTGAAGGATATCAAATGCTTTCTTATACAGAGTTATGCGAAGTGATTGTCTTGGGTAAGCAAACTCTTAATTACCCTGGTAAAAGAAAACGTTTTACAACTATCTGTCACAAAATCGAACAAACTACAATGTTTGAAATCATTTAATAGGTTGTAGATCCGGGGTATATGGTGAAAACTGCAATTTGCAGTGTTCAGAAAATTGCTTCGGAGAAATGTGTGACATTGTGAATGGAACATGCTATAGCTGTAAGCCTGGATGGAAGGAGAATTTCTGTGGACAAGGTTTGTAGACAGGTATTTGTGGAAAGGAACCCTTCCCCCACCCAATATTCAATCCAGGAATATTTATATTTCCTCATAAAATATATGTTTTGCATTTAAGAAAGCATAGGAAAAATTTAGGTATATCATAAAATAGTCATTCCTCACAAAATTGTCCTGCCTTGAAATTAAATTTATTTGACTCCGATGATCATTCTGGCTTAAAATACCAAATATTTGTTTAATTCAATTTTAATTAAATGTCGGTTCATAAGTTCTCTCTTCATATATTTCCTTTCGATAATATCGAAGAGACTTTGCTTCCCGCGAGAATCTCACAATTTAAAATCAAACACAACTCCACTTTTACATCTCTGAAGAATTTTGAAAATAATACCTCGATAATATCTGAGAGATTGCAAATTGAAATAAAATAAATACGTGAGTTAACCCTGAAAGACCAGTGGGAACACAATGAAAACAAACCGGAGTTGCTCAGCTTTTTCCCTAAAAAGTAAGGGAGGATACACTTTGTATGAAACGATCTATTTGCGTTTAACCTATTTTTCTATGGCACTTATACATGGTTATTACGTGAAGATGTAATTATAAGAGATATTTTTTGTAAAGAAAAAACACACGAACGTCCATAAATTGGATATTTCAAAGGAATGGCGTATTACTCTCCACATTCAAGTGCTTCTTGTTCTGTATTTCAAGAAGAACTTTTCTTTCATTTTCATGGAGGATCGTTTAAATTTTACAACGATAAAATTTTTTATTTCTTCCATAAAGAATGTACGTCGGGGACATATGGAGTAGACTGTAAATATCAGTGCTCTGGGCATTGCCTGAATGGGCTACCTTGCAACCACGTGACTGGCAAATGTCCTGATAAATGTGCAGCGGGTTGGACTGGAAATTTTTGTGGAAAACGTAAGCTTGATTTAATAAAACCTCTACAATATATTTTAAATTACAAACAATTACTAGTATACCAAAATACGTACAACACTGAGAGAGAGAATTCGTGAAGAAAAGATAGTAAAGAAAGCACAAACATTTTAATTTATTTTTGTTTTTTTGTAGAATGTGCTCAGGGAAAATATGGCCCAAATTGTGTCCTCAACTGTAGTGGTCATTGCAAGGATAATGTTCCGTGTAATAAAGAAACAGGACGTTGTGATACAGGGTGTAATACTGGGTATATAGGAAGATTCTGTAGTGAAGGTTTGTAGAATAACTGAATGTGAAATTTTGTTAATCAGTACAAATACCGGTATATAAATTGAGTATTCTGATTCCAAGATCGAAGGTAACCAGATCATTAAAAAAAAATAGATTAAACTTAATATTCTTGTTTATGGATTTGATCTTTAGTGCTTATTCCTTAAAGAAACATCTATAGGTCTTTGAATGTTATTCTAAAATTAAATACAGTATACCACATCTGAATTTATTTGATCTAAATTTCTTTAGATAAGCATTATATATGTTTTTCCATCAATCATAGCTTGTGACTTTGGAAGATTCGGAGACAAATGTACGAATATTTGCAGCGGACATTGTCTTTACAATGAAACTTGCAACCACGTCAATGGAATCTGTAGCAAAGGCTGTGCTCCTGGATATTTTGGATCCTTTTGTAGTAAAGGTATTTCTGAATTGAAAATGCAATTAAATCTAATATATAAAACTAAGATGTTATAATTGAAATAATTTGAAGCACTAAGCTTAGAAAAAGAGGATTTTCGATTAATTTGGTGATATTTAATTTCTTGGAGATAAGAGATATTTGATTCTCTAGAGAATTTCTAGTTCTTCATTTGATGGAGAATTGTTTTTATAATTATTATTTTTTTGGGGGCGGGGGCTTTTGGGTGGGTGGGGGTGGGGGCTGCTATTTTTTTTATTTTGTTTGACATTTTACCTAATAAATTAAAGAAATAATAAAATGAAAAGATAAATAATAGAATTAAAGAAAAGGTTGTTTCATGTTCGAAGTAATTGAAGGTCCTTCGTTTGTCATTTAGCATACACATTTATATTCCTTTGGGAACTATTTTCTAGATTGATCGAAAGATCAAAATAATAATAAATAACACATAAGCAAATAATAATGTACAACAAATTTAAAATAGTCACAAAATCGCCTGATATTTCCTAATAAATTAACAAAAAACAGTCCTATATTTAATATCATAACGAGATAAAATGCGCTTTTAATTAAATTCATTTTAAAATTTAAATACTGAACTATTTTCGATATCTTTACTTAGCAGAATATTTTCGTAGTAGACATATCATTAAAGGGATTTGCATTTGTTTTCTGTTGTACCTTAAATCAGAATCTCTCTTTTAGTTTGTCTTGATGGCTCGTACGGTCTAAACTGCTCTGGAATTTGTTCTCCTAACTGTATTGGTACTTGTGGAAAAAGCGATGGTTCCTGTAAATGTGTACCTGGATTTACTAACTCCCCAAATTGTTCAAAGGGTATGTTATCAACACTTAAATTCCTGAAATATGCAGACTTATACTTTTCCATACATTTATTTCTATTAAATAATGTCATACAGGAAGAAAACAAATTTAAATTCTAAACAGTTGCGAATTAACTTTATCTTCATTTCTTAAAATATGGTTAGGGTTAGGGTTTAAAATTTTTTTTTTAATATTGAATAATTTGATTATTGGTTTTTCAAAAAGTGTTGCAATACAAACTTGTATATTGTTATATTCTAGAATGTCCTCCTGGATTTTACGGTGTAAACTGTAAATATAGATGTAGCGGTAAATGTGTCCATGAAGAAACCTGCAGCAGATATGACGGAAGTTGCTCTCTAGGGTGTAAAGATAATTATGTTGGCCTAGCTTGTGACTTTCTTCGTAAGAACGTTATCCATTCTTAATCCGTATTAAATAAAAAGTAAGCAGAGAAAAATTTAAATAGTTTATTAATAAGTGTTAATTTACCTATAAACTTTTCGTGTGTTATTAGGGAGATTTTATTTTAAACCAAACTACTGTTAAATCAATTCTAGTGAGATCATTTTTTTTTAAAGTTCAAGATATATTTCATCCTTCGGGAAATTTCATTTTGTAGTTTATGAGCAGCACGGGATTTTTCTTATCTCTAGGGGAAATGAATTTTCTTAATACCATGTAAACATCAAAAATTAAATTCACTTAAAAATTTCAAATTCAGAGTATTCTCAAGATAACCTTTTCAATGAATGCTATATTCCAGAGGATAGTTCCACAAGTGCATCAACAGTAGGACTTTCCATAGTCGTTGCAGTATATTCATTATGTTTGATAGCTGTCTTTGTTCACTTTTACTTGAGGTATATATCATACTCTGAATGTTCTGTTTTATTTACGCCGTACAGAAATTAAGCAAAAAGGAAAAATCATACCACAGTGTACATAAGGAAAAGTTAGTATACACAAAACAAGCAAAACAAACTATTCAATCGGTGACAAGTTCCTTTCAATCTCATTTCAATTTAAAATTTTACATCTATTTGCAAATATTTGTTTTAATAAGTATCATTTGATCGATTAAAGTATAAAAAAAAAAATTGAGACTGTGTTGAATTGTTTTAAATCCGATTATAATGCTTTGTTCTTACATTTTAACAGATCACACAGCTGCATCACTTTGAAGGAAAGAAATCCAGAGCTTGCAACTAAAGGCACAAAAAGCGAACAGTATTCTTCTCCAAAGACCAATACTTCAGATGATAACATACACAATTATCAGGACTTGAATGTCACCGACGATAAAAACTCTTATGAATTAATGCAAACATCCGAAAATCAGTGTGCTTATCAGAACCTAGACCTTGAGTATAAATGAATATTGTTTTCTTTATTACCCTTCACAACTTGACAGTATACAAAAGTAAAAGTCTGTAGTATATATTATTCAAAATGTAGGGGATATTAGATCTACAAATCATCCGGAAGTGAGAAAAAAAATAAAAAAAACATTGTTCAATTAATTCTGAACCCTGTGTTGCAGCGAGTTCTAGGACATTGGTAGGAGGTTGTTAGCGTATCCGCCGTCCAAGTGTTTCAAACATGCTGCCTTGGGGAAAAGGTCCGGACTGAGTGCTGATCATTATAATTTAAAGATATTCTGCTTTTTGAGAAAATCTTCAACGATTTGGATCTTTTCAAATCTGGCATTGTCATCTCGAAAAATGTAACGACAGTCATAACGACGTGCAAACGTCACAACATTGGGTTCCAAAATGTTGTCCTGGTAGGACTGCCCTTTGATACTTTAAGTCTGTTCTGCCGGTAACGGTAATACCTCCCCACATATTACGGATCCATCCCATACACGCACCAATCATGTTTAATGACGAAAACGCTATGGAAACGTTCTGCGTCTGACCAGAAAGTCAAAATTGAACCTGGTCTCATAATGTTCTGGCCAGTGACTTTAGAGTTCGTCTCCTTTTGATTGACTGTTTACAGGGGAATTCTAAAGGCAATAGTGCGGATGAATCTGTCCTGAGCCTGCGTTGTTGTCCTTGGTCGACCGGATCGTGATCTAAATTGAAAAGACAGCGATCTTGAAGCACGATGTCTTGACCATAATCTAGTGATAATAGACAGGGAAACATGCATTGACCTTGCAAAAGCCACCTGTCTTATTCCAACCTGAATCAATCCAAGAGCATGCATATGTACAATTAAAATCTTTCTAGGTGTACATTTCAGTTTAACCTCGCTTGCAAGATTGTGACACAACGCACTTGATCATCATGAGGATCTAGTGCAAATCATGAGAGTCTGATTGATGGGTTTGCGTGATGAATTTCTTTTGAAATACTTCTTGGTTAAGGAAATAAACATAGTTTCGCATTTTTGTGTATATTTAAACATCCTTATCCTAATACTATAGTATCCCTTTCTTATTTGAATAGTATATTTACAATTGTTTATAGGTACATGCAAGTTGATAACAAGATTATTCTTCAAATCAGCTTATGACTACACTCACTGATTGTCTATATCTAATGAAGCACTGTGAAAGAGTTTGATTTTTTTAACTTAGCTAAATACATTGATCTGTATCTCGCTGGTCTAAAAAATGGAAAAGACAACTAGAGAGCTACAATTCAATCTAAAAAAAAATGTTTATTACACTATATTACATGTATAAATATCATAAACGATTCGTAACGTTGCATTTACTAACAAGTTAAGATATAAGGTACCTGCAGTAAACGACCAGCCTCACAAATAGAATCAATGGACTTTATCAGTAAAAAAAAATTATCAACATTATAGTTGTATATTGTATGTTATATAATATATAAGGATAAAATGGTCGTGATGTATGTCATGTTTTTCCATTCGAACTCTTACACTGAATTTTATTTTATTTAATCTTTAACCTGTAGCATCAGACTATGCAAATCGTAAAGGGGTTTATTTGCATATTTTGACACTTGCGTTAATAATGCCAAGATGAAATTGGCTCAGGCACAAACTTCTGTCTTTTTTTTAATAATACTGTTTTCTATTATTTCATCTCGTTTTAGATTCGCCTACTCGAGAGAAGCGAAAAAGTTGTGAAAAAAAATGTTTTTTTTCCGTTTCCATTTCTGTTTCCCCTTCTGTTTTTAAAGAACAGATTAAAATGAAAGCGACCTCAGCGAATGTTGCAAACCGATGTTCGTCACTTTGAGCTCCTCAAGCAACGCCTGGAAAAGAGAAAATTTAGACTTTGCACATTGATCCAAACGCCTATTTCTGCAATTATCTGTGGTCTCATTCTTGATTTAAATTACCACTCGTAAGACTGGTTAAGTATGGTTTCTTAAAAAGAAAACTTTACTTGATACTAAATACTTGATACTAAATACATTTATCTCTAGATTTAATGTTAATGAAATGTGTATTCATTGTTTGGATCATTTATCAACTATTGTATTAGGCTTTCTGCTCAATATTTTTTCTTACTTCCTAGTAGATTTTCATACCAATTCTGCATTTACTCGTATTTAAAAACCAGCAACTGATTTTGCACAGTTTAAAAAATAAATTTCGACACAAAACAAAGTTAACTAAAATATTCTAAAATGTATTCGTTTATATTCATTTTCTTTCAACATGATAACATGCGGGAATCCACAAATTAAGAAGTGATGTAATTTCCAGTAAGATAGAAAAAATTAAATTCCTTCCATAGATAAATTACGGAAGCTGGAAGGTGCCAGGCAGATAAAAGAGATCTGGCGGCTACCACATAAATATAACTGACAATCGCCAGAAAATTATCTGGTGAACATATTTGGGGACCACCAGATAAAATATTTTTTCTCACTGATACAACCCGTACGACGGCGTATTCGTGCCATTTTAACAATGTAGAAATTTTTTATTAAATCGTTTGTACGATTTACTAAATCGTTTGTACGATTTACTAAATCGTTTGTACGATTTAATAAATCGTTTGTACGATTTACTAAATCGTTTGTACGATTTAACAAATCGTTTGTACGATTTACTAGATCGTTTCTACGATTTAATAAATCGTTTGTACGATTTAATAAATCGTTTGTACGATTTAATAAATCGTTTGTACGATTTACTAAATTAAATCGTACAAACGATTTATTAAATTGTACAAACGATTTATTAAATCGTACAAACGATTTACTAAATTGTACAAACGATTTATTAAATCGTACAAACGATTTAATAAATCGTACAAACGATTTAGTAAATCGTACAAACGATTTACTAAATCGTACAAACGATTTATTAAATCGTACAAACGATTTATTAAATCGTACAAACGATTTATTAAATCGTACAAACGATTTAAAAAAATATTTCTACATTGTTTAAATGGCACGAATACGCCGTCGTAAACCCGACTTCGGTAATAATCAAAATTAAATTAAGATTTAAACAGCTTTTTTGATAAAAAAATAAATAAATTTTACATGTTGGTGTTGTTAAAATGTCCGCAGAAACATAAATTAAAATAAACGTTATTGTGTACTTTGATGAAAGGCGCATGTTTGATTAAATTCTTATCTTTTGTTTATTAGTACATATACGTAGAAAATTACATGTAAGCCTATTTACTAAAACTTTGAAATAAACCAAAATTTTAACGGCGTAGTCCTAGGATTCAAGAAATAATCACCTGAGATTGGGTAATGTGATTCAATACCTGTCAACCCTTTTTTTAGTTCTAAATATCTTTCAGCTCAACTATATCGAGATATTTTTTTCCTTAAAATTTTCGCACAGAGTATGATATTGGTTAAATCTTCAAATAAGTGTATACGCAGTTAAGCAATCAAAAATGCTATTTATACCCATTGAACACATTTGTCTTCGCTACGTTAGGTCATGTTCAGTAGCATCTAAGATATTTTAGTTTGTATTGGGCAGTTTCTGTCTGCACACATTTAAAATTATCTTTCAATACCTTGATGCTCCAAGACGTCCAGTGACTTGTCTTTCTTGATTTACGCGTTGAACATCTTCATGTAGTCTACTAGTTAAAAAAATGAAAATCACTAGATAGATACATGTACGAGGGTTGTTCCAAACAGTCGTAGACAATGTTTAAATTTTTTTAAACATGCAACCAATACTAACCAAATTTTGCATAGATACAATATATCAAATGTTCTTTAAAATTGTTAATTTTTAGATACATATCTTTCATATTAATAATATTAGGATGATTTATATGAAGGCCGATAAAGCCTGTCGTCGCACGGACAAATTCGGAATTTCCTTTTATTTCTTTAGAGCCATGTAATACATTGAACTCAAATTTAAATCACTGAAACTAGAATTAAAATCTGTCGTCGCACGGACAAATTCGGAATTTCCTTTTATTTCTTTAGTGCCATGTAATACATTGAACTCAGATTTAAATCACTGAAACTAGAATTAAAATCTTAATAATATGTCAAAATTTCATTTAAATAGCATTAGAAACATACGATTGGTGTAGAGATTTTCATAGTAACGTTGGAATTGAGTTTGATGAAAATGACGTCGTCAATTGCGTAACCGGCGCACGGAGATATAATAATGTAATAATTATATTGTTTTGAAATGATAATGCCTGGTTAAAGTTTAGAATTTATTCAAGTCCAAAAGTACAAAATCAAAATTCACATTTTTACACAAAAATTCCTAAAGTGAGAGTCAATTACAAACAAACTCAGGCACGTCTCATCTTTGACAACTCCTCCCACATTTCATAATTGAACCAATGAAACAAGTTAAAAGACAGTAGAAAAGTTTGGGGAAAGCTCAATGACATTAATTTATAACACAGGAAACAATTTGAGTAAGCATAACAAATTCAAAGAAACACCAGTCTAAGATCTGACCATAAACCTGATAACAATTATGAGCTAATAGCATCGATACCGTGGGATGGAGAGAGATATGTCAAGTTTGAGAAATTACAAACACGTGCAGCAGTGCTCTTTTTGAAGATCAAATAAAACAATTCATTTTCAATTACAAATTCCACGTACACCAATTATAATATTTAAACTATAACTAAATCATAAGTACATCTAAGAAACGAACAAATTGTCTTTATCAAAAATATGTATTTATACGCATGTATATAACATCCGCCCCCTAAAAAAAATGGCATACAATTTTAAGAATTAAACGATAAAGACAATCATAAAATATGCACACAAAAGAAATGTTATACAAAATGATATTGAAGAAAATATAATACATGTACAAGAAGAAGAATGCATTCTAGTAATGAAATCAGAAGTGAATAAAATGTTTTTGAAGCATGTATTCACCATTCATTGGTACCATCAAACACTCTCACATTTATACAAACATAATATTCAAATCAGAGTGCATCATAAGAACTTATAGCGTGCGCTGCAATGCATAGTAAAAAAATGTAAACAACAAATTCTCGAATATGGTTGTTCAAAGTATAACCTGTATGGAATAACACATCCGCGGTTAGAATAAATCATACCACTTTCAAATAAAGATAATACAATATTCAATTACATAATTGCATAATGTATAACCCTGTTGGAATAAAACATCCTTGGTTAGATATCAAACCAACACAAAATTTTTATGTTACACGATGTATGCCACAAATACTGCATACTAATACTATGTAGAATTGCATAAGGTATAACCCTGTCGGAATAAAACATCCTTGGTTTGAAAAGCAATTACAATATCAAACCAATACAAAATTTTCATATCACACGCTGTATGCCACAAATATCGCATACTAGTAATTCCTACCTTCTCAATTTCTACCGTTTTCAACAATATGTATAAGCTGTAATACTTGTGGAATAAAACATCCGTAATTACATAAACATACATATGAAACACTGTAAATTAATACAGATCAAAAAGTATCAAACAAACATATTATGCAAACAAAAAAAAATAAAATATATCAACAGTATACACAAATGTAACATGCATTTTTTTTTATGTTTTTCTGCTTTTACATTTTTTTTTTCAAGTGTTCATAATCATTTTAATACATTGTATAAAGACGACATAAGTTAGGTTGCGGTCACGTGTCGATAGCACGTTTGGCTTAATTTCGCATTGGGCTTCTTTCCACCATTACCGTTCCAATTGCACACTCGTTGAATGTGTCCTTCACCCGAACAACTGTGGCACGTACGGACATTCGCGCGGTCTTGATTGTAATTCTGCATCCCTCTTGGACGGTCGCGACTCGGAGCCTCCAGTCTGTCCAGCCTGTCAGTAATGGACTTCATCATCTGGAAGAGTTGTTCATCTCGACCACGGCTAGGCTTCTCGATACGGACTGCAGCTACAGTGTTAGGGGGGCTCGTCCTGTATCCATACGCCTCACCAAGTTTGGCTTGTTGTAAAGCATCCTCCCAATCGTCCATGTTCAAATCTGTTGGTGATGGAGACACATAATTTTCTGGTCTATACATTTTTGTCAGTTTATGTAGTCCGAATAAAAAGAAAAGGTGAATACAATAGATCCAAAGTTTAGTCCAAAGTCAATAATGAAATACCCGGATTCTCCACCATGTAATAATTATATTGTTTTGAAATGATAATGCCTGGTTAAAGTTTAGAATTTATTCAAGTCCAAAAGTACAAAATCAAAATTCACATTTTTACACAAAAATTCCTAAAGTGAGAGTCAATTACAAACAAACTCAGGCACGTCTCAT